GGAAATTACAGTACCAAATGCTCAGTCCGGAGCTTTGCTACCACGTTCACGACTAATCTTAGCAAAATTCAAAACTCGTGTATTAAGCAAATCTTCGGTTTCACCTACTAGAGGGCAAAATTTATAGTACAAGTGTTCTGCATCACGCACTCTGCTAAGAAACAAGACATTTGAAAGAAGAGTTTGAGGCAGGAGATTCCCATAGATGACTGGAACCTAACTTTGACACTGAAAGAGGTCAGTCAAAGGTTAAGATAACAAGATTGATGTGATGAATTTATACTAGTTTGGTTGGACACCCTTAGCTACTCTAGGTCTCCAGCTCAACCCAATATGTAAAGGGGGCCAAAGATTTTCAACGAAGTAAATGAGTGCTGCCTGCTTCTTTTTGTGCAAAATTAACTACGTAGACATTATCAGCAATGGCATATTGATTACAGAACTTTAGTACTGATGGGATATTGATTGTTGCAATTGAATTTATTAAATTACATATGAGTCTATGAGACTCACTTGATAACTTTTGGGGTCAATAGCTTAAAACAAATGCCATCATCAAACTTGATTACTTTCTTTAATGTACCGGGCCATTTGCAACTAGTTAAAAATGTTTATTCATGCATCCGAGGTTTTGTATTTGATTATCCCCTATCTCGATATCACTCGTATCAGAAATAACAAATACTAAAAATAAAAATATAAATAAAATAAAATAAAATAAAAAAACAGGTCATGGTGGTCCTGGAGTCCTCATTCTCATTTCACTTTGGTCAAGAAAAAGTGAAAAGGAAAAAGCCCTGCTCTCAAAAACCTTTACTCATTCCATATGGAAGAGTGGAGAACATCAATCATTCACACAACCATGCCCTATTCTCATCTTTAATCATACTATTTCTCCTCCCCACTCTTAAAAGAACCCCATCCACCCTAATCATGTCAAAACCAAAAAGAAATAATAATAATAAAATTAAAAATCATATCTTTGCCCCCACTTAATCTCTCTCTCCCACTCTCTTTCTTCAAATTCATAGAAAGAGGCTCTCACTCTCTTTAGTCTTTGGTCACATTTTTTTCTTTTTTTCAAAAAAAACCCTCTTCTTATTGTTTTGCCTACTCTTCCCGCCTAAGCACATAAGCCATGAAGAAGAGCAAGGCTCTGGCTTTGGTGGCCACTCTGTCTCTTCTTCTCTTGGCCTTGGCTCATCCTTCACTCTCATCATCTCCGCCGCACAACGACACGTGGGCGCTCACGCAATTCCGCCTCCAGACCGATACTCACGGCTACCTACGATCCAACTGGACCGGGGCCGACCCATGCACCTCATCCTGGACCGGAGTCAGATGCTCCATCTCCAAATCCCGCGTCGTCGCTCTCTCCCTCCCTTCCCTCAACCTGCGGGGCCCGCTCGACTTCCTCGCCCTCCTCGACCAGCTCCGCTTCGTCGACCTCCACAACAACCGCTTGAACGGCACCGTTTCGCCCCTCACCAACTGCACCAACCTCAAGCTACTCTACCTCGCCGGCAACGACCTCTCCGGCGAGATTCCACCTGAGATCGCCTCCCTCCGGCGACTCCTTCGGCTCGACCTCTCCGACAACAACCTCCGCGGCCCAATCCCCGGAAACCTCACAGCCCTTACCCGGCTCCTCACGCTCCGGCTCCAGAACAATGTCCTCTCCGGCGAAGTCCCCGACTTCTCCGGCTCCCTCGCCGACCTCAAAGAACTCAACTTCACCAACAACGAACTGTACGGACGGCTTCCGGAGGGTCTGCTGAGAAAGTTCGGGGACGAAAGCTTTTCCGGCAACGAAGGACTCTGCGGGGCGCGCCCCTTGCCGGCGTGTTCGTTTACCGGAGCTACTAGTCCGCCGTCGGCGGCTTCAGCTCAAACGGTGCCTTCTAATCCGAGCCAATTGCCTCAGACGACGAGCGTGAACGTACCGGAGAAGAAGAAATCGAGAAAGGGGCTAAGCCCCGGCGCTATAGTCGCCATTGTAATCGCCAATTGCGTGGCTATGCTGGTGGTTGTGTCGTTCATCTTGGCCCATTACTGCGCGAGAGATCGAGGTTCGAATTCGATCGGCGGAAGTGAGAGTGGGAAGAGAAGGAGCGGGAGCAGCTATGGCGGCGATCAGAAGAAGGTGTATGCCAACAGTGGGGGTGCGGATAGTGATGGGACGAACGCCACGGACCGGAGCAAGCTCGTGTTTTTCGACAGGAGGAAGCAGTTTGAGCTGGAAGATTTGCTCCGGGCGTCGGCGGAGATGCTGGGGAAAGGGAGCTTGGGGACGGTGTACAAGGCTGTGCTCGACGACGGGTGCACCATGGCTGTGAAGCGGCTCAAGGACGCGAACCCGTGCGCGAGGAAGGAGTTTGAGCAGTACATGGATTTGATAGGGAAGGTGAAGCACCCAAATGTGGTGAGGCTCAGTGCTTATTATTATGCCAAGGAGGAGAAGCTTCTTGTCTATGATTATCTCCCTAATGGAAGCTTGCACTCACTCCTTCATGGTAATTGGTACTTCAAATCATCAAAATATTGTTGATTACGTGATGTTCCTGATTTACATGTTATAATGTTCATGATTTACGTGTTATAACATGAGTGAACGACATGATTATTCTAAATACTGCCCTGAATTTTAGAACATGTGTTTGGTTTAGTGTTATGAATTTTGAATTTTGGCTATATTTGACACGGTGTTTGATTGTTGATGCAATTAGGCAATCGTGGTCCGGGTAGAATTCCTTTGGATTGGACCACAAGGATCAGCTTGATGCTGGGTGCTGCTCGTGGGCTTGCTCGGATTCATGAAGAGTATAGCTCTGCAAAAGTGCCACATGGGAATGTGAAATCTTCCAATGTGCTTCTTGACAAGAACGGTGTGGCTTGCATTTCTGACTTTGGACTCTCTCTGCTTCTGAACCCGGTTCATGCCATTGCAAGGTTGGGTGGATACAGAGCTCCTGAACAGGCAGAGGTCAAGAGGCTGTCCCAGAAGGCGGACGTGTACAGCTTCGGGGTGTTATTGTTGGAGGTTCTTACAGGGAGAGCCCCGTCCCAGTACCCATCTCCGGCTCGCCCTCGTGTTGAGGAGGAGGAGGAGGCGGTGGACCTTCCGAAATGGGTGAGGTCTGTGGTGAAGGAGGAGTGGACTGGGGAGGTGTTTGATCAAGAACTTTTGAGGTACAAGAACATTGAGGAGGAGCTTGTGGCAATGCTCCATGTGGGATTGGCTTGTGTGGTGCCTCAGCCTGAAAAGAGGCCTACAATGGCTGAAGTGGCAAAGATGATTGAGGACATCAGAGTGGAGAGATCTCCTCTTGGGGAAGACTATGATGAATCCCGCAATTCGCTTTCGCCTTCCCTTGCCACCACTGAAGACGGGCTGGCCTGATCATATCCACCTCTCCATCGTTGCGTAATGTAATGGTGTTGCCAGCCTGCACTGTGGCTTTGATTGTCTGTATCATCATCCTCAGTTTCTCACTGCGAATTGCTGCTTCGGCTGGCTCCTTCTCAGTCCTTATTTTTTGTGTAGTTGTGGTCTCTGTAATATCTGTAAGTCCTTGTATTTTATAAATTTGTCGCAGGTGAGGAGATTACTTATCTTGCCACCAAGTTTAAGATAGTTTTGTTTAGTTTTCTATTATGTAATTTAGCTGTTGACAATAATTATTTGTGATTATTATCTTCAAATCACTCTAAATCTTCAGAGTGGCAGCCGAAAGCTGCTTTGCTTGCACTTGAAAGTCAATTAATATTTTGTTTTAGTAATGCAGATAAATTATTTTATTAAGTCAGCCATGAATGCTTTGGATCTATCTTGATACATGAATATGATCAAATTAACTTGTATTTCTCAATTTTAATTCTACACTAATGATATTTGCTCACGCTAAACAGCTGTTTTCTAACAACGACAATAAAAACATGAAAAAAATCAAAACCCCAACTCATGAAGAATGGTTTTTTTTTTAACCTCCCTGTACAAATATGATATCAGGCATTTGTGCAGCATTTGAGACTAGTCTTTCCTTCGCTCTTTTTTCCCCCTTTTTTTTCATTTCCATGCATTTCAAAATTGAGATAAGCTGACTATAGATTAAAATAAAGCAATGTAGGAGATCCCAGATTGCATCTAAAAGATAAATATTTCCACATAGAAATGTCATGACTTTGAACCATACTTTGCTATTCACACCTCTATCAATACAAACTGAACAGTTAAATTGTTGTTGTCATCTACATTAACAATCTTTCTCCAAGTAGATACCATTTACAAGACGATACGAACGACACCGGCACCACCTTAGGATGCAGAACTTAAAAAATATAGTTAATTCTATGAATCACCAACCACTAGCGTCATAAAAGTTAGAATCTTTACTCTACCTTAAGGTATCAGGTGGCAAATTATAGGATTTGCAGCCAAGTCTCAACGAGTAGCCAGCAGCTGTAGAACCCACCAACATCTCCATAAGGGGTCTGTTGAAGATAACTTGACAGCTACTTGAGGTTGCCAGACCTAGTAATACAACAGCTAAGAGTTTCATAAATATTAGCTAATCCTTCCAGCTTGATCTATCAGGGTACCAACTTGTTCTCCGCATAGTGCTTTCGAAATATTTCCAGGCTCTAAAAGATTAAAGACCACAACTGCACATAAAAATGCACATTGATTAATATTGAATTTGAACACCCGTGTGCATAAACAAAGGTTCAATTAACAGCTTCTGAGTTTAGGCTTGTAACACTTTGACCAAAAAATGGGGACTGTTGGATGACTCAATCCACTCTCACTATTGTTCAACAGAACAGAACTAGCCCTCTATCCCTCCTATCTGATGCATTGATGTATTAACCAAATGAATTGGAAATGCCTGCATTATGTATTTATGATAAGGGCGCAATCTGAACCAAATACAAGTTAAACAAAATGCACTTACCGGGAATCCTGTTTTCTTCACAGAAGGTCAGTGCCATCGAGTCCATTGAGGTGGCCCCTCTGGTGACCACATCCCTAAAAGAAATGTGCTCGAATGTAAAATTATTGTCTTGAGAGTTGCAGTCATAGACACCATCTACATTGGTACCCTTGAGTACTGCCTCTGCTTGAACTGAGAGAAAATAAGAGTGTCACAAAATTATATATAAAGTCAAAAGATGTGGGTGGGAATCCATGCATGTATATGGTATATGTGTGTGTGTTGAAGAGCTGAAGTAGAACAATTAAAAAACTTGGTAGATTTCAAGCATTGTAATATGTTTGAAAGGAAGTGTGAATGATCGCAGAGCCATACTCTCCAAAGCTCGAAGTGCTGCTGCTGTGTCAGTGGAAAAGAGAGGATTTCCAGTGCCAGCGCCAATTCCAGCAAAAATTACAACTCTGCCTTTTTCAAGATGGCGGATGGCCCGCTGCCTACTGTATGGTTCAGCAACCTCCTGCATCGAAAATGCAGTTTGAACACGAGTCTGGACTCCCATCTTCTCCAGTGCTGACTGGAGCAATACAGAATTCATTACAGTGGCCATCATTCTGGTACACATCACAAAGTCACCTTGTTTAGGTCGAACATTTGAGCATCATAGATGCATTATCTTGCAATTTATAATTTAGATCTCAGAGGGTGCAGATAGGACATAGACCCAAACTTCTTATTCCTCAGTCACACCATTTCTATGACATCCCTCCTACATCACACAGCAATGCTTCAAATGAAACACAGCGATGCGAAGACCGTGTCTTGAACTTTTAGTGGAACATGCATAACGTTCACATGATATGACATTTCCAAGTGCTTTGTTATATTATATGGTTCCCCAGTTTTATTTCAGTGCTTTGTGAAAAAGCAAAAGCGGAAGCAAATCAGATCAACTAATTCATGAAACTTAATAAGAGCACTATCAAGTACATCCAAATACAGCACCAGCCACAAAAAAGAAACCAAAAAGAGAAAAATCTATTTTGTATAATAAAAACAAAAAAAAAAGAGCCCAAAACTCATTGGACATGCTTCATCACTAAGAATACAATGATCATGTTAATAAACCAAGGCTAGTAAAAGGTGGTATGATCTGAGATTGCAAAAATGAAGATAGGCTAGCAATGATGCTTACCCAATCTGGTATGCAGTACTTCTATCTAACCCTGTTGCAGTCACCCATGCATCTCCACAAAAAAAGTTGCGACCTCCAACAACAATGGCCACCTAATACACCAAGCAAGAAAGAAACCAAACTTTGCAGCTCAAACTCATAAAGACAACAGACAAATGAACCCAAAGATGATGAACAATCATACGGATAACAAACAAACCTCCACCCCATTGTGACAAGCCAATGCAACTTCTCTTGCAATCAGCATTGCCAACTGCCAAATCACAAAACAGTGAGACAAGACTGTTCACAAGCTAACAGGATCAAAATTTGGCTCATACAATTAATGGGATTGCATAAAAGATAGAACCTTTGAGTCAACATTGTTTGGAGCAGCGCCAGCAAGAGCAGCACCACTGATTTTGAAGACCACTCTCCGCCATTTGATACTCAGAGCTGATTTGACCTTGTTCATCTGACTTACAGGACTTATTATGGCCATTGCATTTCTGCTAAAAAACCACACGACACAAGCAACTGAGCAAGGGAGATTGACCAATTGCAGCATTAACCTAAACAATAATAATGCACAACAAACGATTCCAAACCTCTTCGATTGCCGCGGCGTGGTACCGGGAGAAGAAACGCCTTTATCCTCGTCGGAGACGGCCTTTCCAGGCAATGAATTGCCGACGATATTCTCCATCTTCTTGAACCAAGGCCAGTGACTCGCCGAAACGCCACCGTTGTTCATCCTCTGCCTCTCAAGCTTGTACCTCTTCTTCAAGTTGTCGACTTTGTTCTTGCACTGATCTACGCTCTCCCTCTGCCTATCGCACCTCTCGCTCACAATCGCCGCCACCTCCTCCCAATCTCTGCCCCTCAGATTTCCCCGATTCAGCTGAGTGAACTTGTCCGTGTACGCGTCGAGAAGGCACGAGATCGCCGAGTCGCTCCACTCCTCTCGGTCCTTCCTGTACTCCCCGATCGCAGCCGCCGAGGAGGGTTTCGATCTCTTGTAACTGTACGGAGCTGATCCTGATCCTCCTCCGCCGCCATCGCTGAGCTCATCTGAGTGGCCCTTCCTCTTCTCGCTGGCGCCAGCAACGACGTCATTCTGATCGGTCCCGCTCTCGAACGGATTCGAGCAGAACGCGGCTGCGGATGCATCGTCGTAGTCGTCTCCGGCCTCGGCCTGGTCTTCTCCGGCGTTGACCTTATCGCTGAGTATGGGCTGCGCAGGTGGCGCGTGGACCGGGGTCGTTCGCGTAGCGAAGCGGTGAGGAGGCGCGTATGGCTGGTGGAGCTGGTGGGAGGCGGGCGCGTGGGGGAGGTGGCTGTGGTGGGTAGTGTTTGACTCGTCACCGAGGATGGAGAAGTCGTCGTCACAGGAAGCCATTAGAGGGAAGGACGTTAGGGTTAGCGGGGTTTGGCGGAACGACGACGTTAGAGAAGGCGGGTTGGAACGTTGGGGCGGAGTGAGAGAGAGAGAGAGGACGAGGTTGTTTAACGGAACGGGTGTGCCGTGAATGGGTGTGGGATGGGCCGTGACGGCTTTGTGACGGTCCCGTTAAGTAATGAATAAGGGGTAAATAGTTCCATTGAATTTAATTGGAACGTGGGTGGGGCCCGCGTGGATGTGGATGGCTAAGTGGCTATTGGTTTGGTTGGTCCGTTTCATTTTTGATTTTGCGTTTCGGAAATTGGCTCGTCACGATTTTGGATGGTCACGAACGTCAGCTGCCCTACCAGACCAGCTGTGTGTGCTTGGTTTGGTGGAAATAGGTGGAAATTCAACGTTCCAATATATAAAATTAAATCAGTTGCCAAAAATATATATATAATTAAATCAGTTGCCAAAAATATATATATAAACAAATGAATAAACCATGAAAAATTATAAGTGCCTGTTTGGCATTACTTATTTGGGGTGATAAGTGATTTAAAAAAAAATTGAGAAGCGCAGTCTATTTGGTAAACTATGAGAAAATCATTTATTTTTAAAAATTATTATGAAAGAAAGCTAGAAGGGAAAGCAGCTAATGAGGTGCTTTCATTTTCTGATTATGCGGGAATCAGCTTCAAGGAGGCGGTAGGTTTAACGATTATATATGAATTATTTTCTGATTATGCAGAAATTAGTACCAACAACACTTTTAACAAAAAGTTTACCAAACGCCAAATTGCTTTAACATCTGATTTTTCTTACAGTAAATCTGACAGCTATTATTTTCACAGTACAGCCAAACTGGCCCTAAATTTCTTAAATTTATTATTTCATCAAATGATCAATGAAGTCCACAAGAAACGATGTCTTTTTGTCTTTTGCGACATTAACATTTATACATTATAGAAAGTCAACGTATTTTCTTTTGTATTTTAACTAAAGTTAGACGTTCTATTAAAAAAAAAATTCAATGCGAAAACAGCCTCCACTACCTATATATGAATATTTTACAAGTTATTTTCTTCTGTAAATGACTATTTTGCTATTTTGCTTTCAAAATTTTATAGTAGCATTAGCAATATCTATCAATAATTGCTAGGAGTGGGCATTCAAACCAGAAAATTAAGTCCAATTGGGCCGAAAAAAAAAAAAACCGAGTTGACCAAAAGTTAGACCAAGTTAACCAAAAATCAAACTGGACCGATTTGGTCCAATTCCAGTTCTTGTAGTAAAAAAAAATCAAATATAGCCAAACCGGACCATCTTACATATATATTATTTATTTATATAATATTAGCCCAAACCTAATTTTTCTTCAAGCCTAAATACTCTTCCAAGCCATCAAGGCCAACTCTAAGCCCTTTATTTGTTTTTGCAAGCTCAAAAAATAAAATTTTAGTTGGAATTTATATAAAATAATAATAATAATCATCCAGTCCAAAACTGGACCGAACTGGAAACTAGACCAGAATCGATTCAAACAGCCAATTTTATAAATTTTTTTTCTCACTAAAACTAGATCAAATCAGACCAATTAAATAGTTTCAGTTTTAGTTTCGATTTGAGATGAAAATTGGATTGAACCAGACCGCACCCACCCTTAATAATTGCATAGAGTGACCTTATTACTATCCATAAAAAATAAAAATAAAAAAAATTTAAAAACCTCCCACCTCTTTTTAAAATTTGAAATTTATGCTTTAATGATCATTTTGAATAACCAACTTTATTTTATTTTTTTAACCATAAAGCAATTGAGAGTGGAAGCTTGTATGAAAGTAATTAAGTGTTTCTTTAATATATACGATTAAGGGAAATGTGAAGTGTGAATTACTATAGACCTTTTTATTAAATACTTACTTGAGGTTGAGAAGTAAGGAAAGAGAAACTTACGATTAAGGGAAGAAATTGAAATTGGAATTGAATCAACTAACTACCCCAATTCATGGTTATGAAGGTATATATTATGCTATGATAAATATATGGATTATTGCCTAAAACCAACTATCAATTAGCCAAATTTTCAACTTGGATGGATTTAAATTTTTTTAATGATTTGATTGTTGGATTGAACCCTTCATTAAACCCCTCTGAGGTGTACATCAGTTCAACCATATTAGAGGTGTATATTGATTTGAAACCAATGCTATTTCACCAATCCGCATCTAATCCAATATAGACTGGATTATTATTTTTCCAATCCAATCCGATCACATTAGAGGTTTAAATTCAATCCGATCTGATCCAATCCAATTGATATTGGATTGGATTATCAGTTTTCATAATGAAAAAATATTTTAATGAAATATGAAACATTTATCGTCAAGTTTAATATAATCAAACACTTTAATAGACGTAAATGTAAAATATAAATGAAATGTTAGAGAAAATTAACTTCATCAAATCAGGGGCGGACCTAGCTCGCGCCCAATATGGGGCATGGCGCACGCTCAACTTTTGTTACTTACCTCTATATATATAGTATAGTTAAGCCCTCACAATTGTTCAATGATTAAAAAATAATTAAATAAACAACCTAGAAAGCTATCATGTGAAGACTTGCTGCATTTTCTTTGAAGTCTGAACTCCCTGTCTCTGTCTGGAACAATTGCCAACGCCAAAGAGAGGAAGACATCGTTGTTCACAAGCGAATCCATCTTTGTTTATTATAACTTAGCACAACTTGTAGGTTAGTAATTGATTTCTCCTCCTTAGTTACACTTTAATATTTTATTTATCTTTATTTTTTCAAAACTAATAAAACATTTGTTTGTATTTTTTTGTTAGACTATCTCTAAATAGGTGAATTTTTGTAATAGCCGTGGAAAAAATATTTTAAAAGAAAATCAGTGATGGAGTCATCTACTCCTATAAAGGTTGGCAGTTCAAAACAAAGTCGTAAGGAAGTCAATGTGGTGGATCTTCCTTTAGATCCTGGATTACGAACTAGAATTTTAGATTACAATCACAATATTCAAGATCAAAATTCATATGTTCCCTTTTAAGAAATGTGGAAATGGGAAACGACGGTTCATATTTTATTGGTTTTATGATTTTCCTAATTGGTTGGAATATATCATAGCAAAAAATGTTGCATTATGTTTATGTTGTTATCTTTTTAAATCAAATAATGGAGAACAAGGGAGTGGTGAAGCATTCGTTGGTGAAGGATTTTAAATTTGGAAGGAGAGAAAAAGATTTGAAATTCATATTGGAGGTCCCAATAGTGCCAAAACCAAGTTCTGAATAAGTGGGAAGCTTTGATGAATGAAAAACAACATATTGAAAATGTTTTTCACAAGAGTTCAGTTCAATCTCGAATTAATTATCGAACTAGATTGTGTGCGTCCATTGATTGTATTCGATTTCTCTTAAGACAAAGTCTTGCATTCCGTGGTCATGATGAGTCTGAGAATTCAAGTAACCAAGGAAACTTTCTTGAGCTTTTATAATTCCTTGCAGATCACAATGAACAGGTTCGAGCTGTAGCACTGAAATATGCTTCTGATAACCTCAAGTTGACGTCACCAAAGATTCAAAAAGACATTGTAAATGCTTTTGCAGTTGAAACAACTAATGCTATTATAAGTGATATTGTTGATTCCTTGTTTTCTATTCTTGTTGATGAATCTCGTGATGTATCCATTAAGGACCAAGTAGTATTTATGTTTTGTTATGTTGACAACAAAGGGTATGTGATTGAATGTTTCATGGGTATTAAACATGTGGCTAGTACAACAGCTCTCTCATTGAAGACATCAATTGATGCATTATTTGCTAGACATCATTTGAGCATATCTCGATTGCATGGTCAAGGTTATGATGGGGAAAGTAATATGAATGGAGAGTTCAATGATTTGAAAACACTCATTATGAAAGATAGTTCATGTGTTTTTTATGTTCACTGCTTTACTCATCAACTTCAATTGACTTTTGTGTCTTTGGCAAAAAATCATAGCCTAATAAGTGCTTTATTCACAATGTGCTAAATATTGTTGGGGCATCAATAAAGCGTCGCGACATTCTTCAAGAAAAACAAGCCCCCAAAGTTATTGAAGCACTTAGCAATGGTAAGCTCTCAAGCAGACAAAGCTTAAATCAAGAACTTGGAGTTAGACGTCCATGTGATACTCGATGAGACTCACACTATGGTACTTTACTTAACTTTGTTTCCATGTTTTCATCTATAATTGATGTATTAGAGGAAATTTCAGATGATAGAGTGGGCACTGTTTAGAAACATGAAGCATTTATTTTGTTAGGATTGCCACAATCAATTGATTTTGTGTTCAGTTTGCATTTGATGATGATTATACTTGGAATTAAAAATGAGTTATCGCAAGCCTTACAAAGGGATGATCAAGATATTGTGAAAGTCATGGACTTAGTTGAAATATGTAAGCGAAACCTGCAGAATATGAGAGACAATGGATGTGATTCTTTATTGGAGAAAGTTTCCCTTTTTTTTGTGTGAAACAAAATATTGAAGTTCCTAATATGGATGATATGTTTGTAGCACAAGGGCAATCACGGCGTAGGGCACAACAAATTAAAAATATGCATTATTATCATGTTGATCTTTTTTATGATGTGTTAGATTTGCAACTTCAAGAGTTAAGGAATCGTTTCACAAAGGTTGACACTGAGTTGCTACTTTGCTTGACATGCTTAAGTTTCATTTTTTGCTTTCAATAAGCAAAAATTGGTACGTCTTGTTGAATTCTATCTAAGTGATTTTTCTACTGAACAACTCATGGCACTTGAAATTCAACTTGAGAATTATATTGACAATATACATTCCAATACCAAGTTTCAAGAATTGAATGGAATTTCTGATCTTGCAAAAAAAAATAGTTGAGATAGGAAAGCACAAAGGATTTTATATTTGCACTTGTGTCTTGTATTTTATATTTGTTACGCTTACACATAGAAAAAATCATAGATCCACCGCATCAAATTACTTAAATGTTTTATAACTTTTTTTAATGAAAATTACCTAATGAGCAAAATAGGCAGGAAACTAACTATATTGAATTGGATTGGATTGAATTGGATCCTCACAAGCAAAATCTGTCATCTGATCCAATCATATCAGTTTTGGAAATTAGGGATCCAATCTAATCCTCCAAATCAT